GGCCCAGGCTGGATTTGAACCCGCCACCTTAGGTGTATGTGGCTGGTGCCTTAGCCACTTGAGCCACAGGTGCCGAGCCAGCACCAGGATTTTCAAACCACTGAGGTACCAAATGGTTCTCACTTTAGAAACAAAAAAATCCAATTTCTCTCAAATCTATAAATCTCAAGTCATTCAATAACTTCAACTGTGTAACGGGAAAATATTGCACACCCCCAACTTCCAAAAGCAAAAGTGCAATACAGTACAAAGATCACAAAGGCTTGCTCAGAAAGGTAACTTTTGGAAACAAAGTCTAAATTCCTTTCAACAATTCAATAATTTAGTGGAAATTTTACTAAGTGCCCAACGATTCTCTTGCAATTCTTAGCTAATTCCCCCCTCCTCCCCTGCCCTCCCAAGCTAAGGAAGGTAGGCATATAGTAACCCAGAGTAGCCAAACAATTCTTAAAATGCAGTTACTTTCATGTCCAACTTTTCTTCGGTAGACAAACTTCCTCGTCTTCAGCAATTGTACCAGGCTGAATGCTAAGTAATATACATAAATCTGGACTCTACCCGTTCCAGTTAAGATCAACTAAAACAGTCTTAAAAGACAAATTTACTACAGTTTGAGCCTTCAGATACTATGTTTCCAACCAAAACAAGAGGTATACTGAATAACAAGGCAGTAATAAATTTTGTTTCAGATTAGGCTTTTCATGCTAGATTTGGTCAAGGAAACCATCTGTGGCGTTTATCTTTCCCTGGTTGATGTCTTTTGAGGGAAGGAGTTGGTTATCTACAATACCTTAATGGGAAGATAATCCTCATACCAATTAAATATAAAGAAACGTTTTAACGTTTTATTAAATTATTGGCAAGTTCATAAAACAAACCTTATGCCATCCAAAACCTTCTTGAAATTGAACACACACATTCAAAAATCATTCTGAGTATTGCTTTCTTTACAACTTTCAAGAACTACAAATTCAAAGGAGTTTGTAGAGAACTTGACGTCTCCATTCCTAAAAATCTTCCGACCATTATTACAGAACCCAAGACCCACTGGCTTATAGGTACAATGCAACTTATGTTTTTTAACCACGAAATGGTGGAGCCCTCTTAAAGGTAAGCAAATATTTCAATTCTCATGAGGCATATACTCCAAGAGATTATTTGCCTCCAACATATACGGAGAGATAACTGAACCCAACGACAGAGACTTAAACCGCACCGGGCTGCATGAAACGTAAATAAGTAAACAAGCAAATTAAAAATAAAAAAGTCTGGTCTTGAGTAAAAGAGAAGCCACGCAAGAGAAGCACATGACTCATCAACAGGCCTGAAAAGAAGTAGTTACCTCGTCCACTACACCAAAGTAGAATTTCCCATCTTCATTCAAGGCCAGGCCTTGAGGCATCTCAGTCCGGTTAAGTTGTGCTATTTCCGTTTGGGAGAGGGTCATTTTATTTCGCTGAATCACAACTCCCCCACATTCCCACCTCAAACCACCACAAATAAATGAGGCCGTGGCAGGGACGCTGGCCACCACCGACCAAGCAAAACAAAGCGTCGAGCAAGAGGCTGCCAAACAGGGAGTGGGTGGGTCAAGAGTGTCAAACTCGCCCCCCAGGACAACGTTCCCGCCCGCTGTGGCCTGCCTGCAGGTTGGCGTACGGCGGCAACCCACTTCCTCCCTTAAAACACCTACCCCTTTCTCCTCAGAGCTCCGGAGATCGCTATGAAGGTGAAGACACAGAGATGGGGGACGCGCTGCCCCAGCCCGGACAAAATGACCCAGAGGCCAGAGGAAGAGTGCGCCAGGCTCAACCCACGTGAGCGCTCTGGCCTGGCCCGGCCCGCCCCAGGGACTGCTGCCAGGCACGGCGGCACTCCCGGCCACCACGCCAGGCCCGGACTTACCCGGGCCAGCCGCGCCATGGACTCCGCGGCGACCGCTTCCTCCTCCTCCTCCTCCTCACTTGACAAAATGGCGGCGACAGGAAGTGTCGGGAGCCTCGGCCCGCCCCCCGCCCGCCCTCCCCGCCAAGGAGCCCGCGCCCCCGCCTCTCTGGCCGACCCGAACCAGGGGGCAGTGGTGCCAACAGCGCGACAGCCGTGAGCAGCCCCACCGCCCCGACACCAACGGTGCACGCAGGAACGGCCCGGCACAAACGGCGCGAGAGGCCCGCAGGCCCGAGCCCGCGTAGCCCCAGCCTCCCCGCCCCCGCGCCGTGCCGATGGCGTAGGTGGTGGCGCACCGGCCCCATTACGCAATGCAGGTTACGCGGGCCGCGCCGCGGTACCCCACCGACCATCCCATGCCGCCTGCTGCCCAAAAGGACACCGGTCCTCACCTGAGACGCTAGGCCGCACGCCGTCCCCGCCGACCGCTCGCTCGCTGCCGCCGCCCTCTCCCCGGGCTGGTCTGCGCGGCGCCGGGGCCCGCCCGCGGCGCCT